GCAGCTGCATGACTGTACGCATATGTGTCTCACCCCATGATGCTTATTGATTTACCGCCAGCCATTCGTGTCGAGTGGGCACGTGCACGTGCGCGTCGTGATCGCTGGTGAGGAGGTTGTGCTACTGAAGGAGGAGATGCGGCGAGTCTGTGCCTATCTTGAGTGGCAGTCCAATTGGTGGATCAAGCAGAAGAGTCGTAGGGAGGACTGGGATATTTATGTCAAGGCTGGGGCGCTTGCGTATGCCCTGAAGCAGGCGGCCTGGCATGCAAAGCTCCGGAGCATCTTCTTCAGACATGGGGAGATCGCATTCATACATCATTAGATTAGATTGGAATCTGATTCAGATTAGATTGCATAATGTCTCTGGGGCCATCTTCAGACATGGGGGAGATCGCATTAGATTAGATTGCAGTCTGATTTAGTGATTTGGCTGCATCATGTCATTGTATTCTTATGCGAGTGAATCTGATGGGATGAGACCTGCTGGGGTCTGCCGGGACCGGCACCAGGCAGGTGACAGAGCACCACCCAAAATGGAACATGTGCACCGCTCAGGCGGGACCGTAAGCGTATGGTGCTAGCCATGGCATGGCTAGGCCACACGTTAGTATGTATTTCCTATGGCTAGCACCATGTGCGTAGTCTATTTCCTAGCACTACGGTGCGTGTTCGACGACGGGACGAAACGGACCAGGCTCTTCGGATCCTCCCGGTTCCAGCCGGCGTCGTTTTGTTTCGTCGAGACGGTGAACTCGTTGGCGTCGGCCATCACGTTCGACGACTGCAGGTAGTCGAGCACCCAGTCGAAGCTGAAATCAGCCTGGTTGAAGTGTGCGATGATGAGCGACTGCGACTGTAAGCGTCGATACGGCCTGTCAGCTGACGCAGTAACTCCACAGACGACGCCTGCCACGCACCCAGTCGTAGTCCTGCCGCGGCGGCGGCACCGGCGACGTCTTGTAGAACGCGCGCGCCTCCTGCACGAACTCGTCGAGGACCTTCCGATTCCGGCTCCACACCTGGAGCGTCAGACTCGACGCGCCCTCGTTCTCGATCTTGTTGATCGTGATCCAGTGCCGGCGGCGCCAGAAGAACAGCTCCGGCTCGCTGTTGTCCGGCTCGTACACGATGTCGGGGTACCCGTCGCCGGTCGCGAGCGCGAATTCGCTGTTCGCCACGACCTTGGCGTTGCGCGCGTTCACGCGGAACGTGCGGGACCGGTTCCACACCTTGTGGTGGTTGAGGTACGCCGTGACCTGGCGAGATCAAACCGCGCGTGGTCAACACGTGTCAAGGGCCGGCGCTGGACGGACGGACGCACCCATTCGTAGCTGAGCTCCCCCTGCTTGAAGGACGCTTTGACGAGGAAGACTGCGAGGACAAACGGTCAGTCACGCTGGAGGGAGGTATGCATCGCCGTCGCGCACGCACAGCTGTTGACCGTGGAAACCATCTTAGCGCCGATGACTCGACTCCTGTTAGGTTTCGGATAGCAATCAGTGAGATGGGCGGTGCAGGGTGACGTGAAGCCGTGCACGCACGTCTCGACGATGGTCCCCAGGAACATGAATCTCAGCAGCTCAGAGACCTGCGGGTTCTCGAGCAGGCGCTTGAAGACGAGCAGGATGGCGCGGATGAACTGATTCCATGAGCGCCCGGACTGCGATTGCACGCGGCCCATAGCTCGTGCGAGCGCGCGACCGGGTGACATTGAGTGGCAAACAAGGGGTGGGTAAGGAAGGTTGATGAGTGAAGGAGCGAGCCAACGAGGCTTACCGTATTATACCGATCGACTGCGGCGTGACAAGCTGTTACTGGAACGTGAGCCTCCTAAGAGATGGATGGTTGCTCGAGTCAGGGTGACTTGCGAAAGGCAAGATTGGAGTCAAAAGGACGCTGCATGATGCGCCCAAAGACACTGCCACTGGCAAGCTCCCAAGACATTGATGGATGGCGGTACATGCCGACAACGTGGCATCACTGTCACGCACTGCTCCTGTGCTACTTGACTCCCGTGCATCACAGGTTCTCTAATGTTTGCTGCGAACAAGTCTCAGGATGTCAGACAGACAATACTCGATGATGGCGCATGACTTTCCAGCATTCTCACGAACATCGTCAGCAAAGGGCTTCTCCACATGGCGAAGAGGTCTCCCATGCCCATGTATAACCGTTCTCAGACCGGCCCTCATGCTGGGCGAAAAGGCATTCATGCGCAGCTCTTCTAGATCAGGACCACTTTCATCTCAAAGAAATAATGACCGCCAAGTCTAGCCTAGTTGAATCGCCTCTTTGTGCCCCGGCCTCTGTCTTTGTGCAGTTATCGGAGTCGGTGCTCCCAGTTGCGAGCTGACAGCCTGATCCCGATGCCCACTGCTTCTCCATTTCTCCACTCGGCACCCAAACGCTATTTAAGTTTACAGCCGTCCGTCCGTTCTCCAATTTCACGCCATGGGGCTTCCTTCCTATCCTCTGAAAGTGGTCGGTCGTGGCACCACATCTGGCTCTGCACGCACTTACTGAGCTCTTCCTAGCTGATTACTGGCGTGACAGGTTATATCGGGGGTACGCTCCTGCGTACGTTCCTCCTCAGAGAGGACTACAAGGCCGGGCTGGTCGAGATCACCTGCCTCGTCCGCGACGAGGACCGGGCAGAGGTTATTCGCCGGGAGCTCCGCCTGAGAGTCGTAGTTGCCGATCTCGCGGAGCTCAATCTGATTAGAAGCGCCGCTGAGAACGCAGATGGTCCGTGCCCGGTTGCTTTCTGTGCCGCTGATTCTGAGTGACTTGCCGTTAGTGGTCATTCACACGGCTCATGCCGATCACCCCACGGGATGCCGCGCCATTTTGGACGGTCTCCGAGCTCGATATGAGAGGACGGGGATCCAGAGCGTCCTGATCCACGTTCGTCCTCGAATTTCCCAATTTCCCATTCCCGGACTTGATTGCATCTGGTAGAGCTCAGGAACCGGCGCCTTGACAGACGATGCCTACGGCGCTTTTGCTAGCGAGAAAATGTCGTCTGCGTCCATGAAATCCGGTTCTGGAGAGTGCTCTAACCCGCTGTGTCCAGATATGAAGACCTAGACTGCAGCGACATCCGCGCCATCCCAACCACTTACGTCCATCGAGAGAGCGATGCGATGATCAGCGAAGCCAGCGAGGCAGGCTACGTCCGTGGCTACGTCGTCATGCCCCCTCTCATCTGCAGGTCTCATCATTCTCGCCCCAATCCAAGCGGCTAATGATACAAACCAACCACCAGACGGACGGGGGACCGGGCCGTTCAGCCGCACCTCCGTCCAGGTTCCTGCGCTTATCCGTGCCGCGCTCAAACTCGGGCAATCGGTATATGTCGGCCGCGGCCTGTCGCTGTGGAACGGCGTGCACGTGCAGGATCTCGTCGACCTCTACCTCGTCCTCCTCGACGACGCGGTCGCTGCAGGCAGGCAGCCCAAGGCCGTGAGCGGCAAGGAGTGTTTTTGTGAGTCACGAGTCGCGTGACGACCCGCTCACTAGTGGCGGTTTCGTTTCGTTCCGGGTCGTTCATGGCCGGACGCTTGTACAGCGATTAATAGCCTGATATTAACGGCCTTGGCAGATTTCTGTGCTACCGACACCTATTCCTGGAAGCAGCTGGCCGACGAGATCGGCCGTCGGCTTTTCGCGCGGGGGGCGATCTCGAGTCCAACTCCGCGGTCCTTGACGCCGGACGAGGAGCTCGAAACCTTGGGCGCTTGGAGCCGTTTTGCCTATGGTTCGAATTGTGAGTCTCATGTTTTGATAGAGACAACGACATTCGGTTTTTGACCGACGGTCAGCGCGTTCGAAAGCCGGCAAAGCGTATGCGCTGGGATGGAGCCCGAAACATTCCGACCACAGCGCAGGCCTGTTTGACTCCATCGACGCCGAGTACGATGCGGTCATCGATGAAGGCAGAGACGAGCGGCCGAAAGTGCATATCGACGAGATGAACAGAGCAGTAGGGGAGGGGTCCAACGGCGCACCGCCCGCCGTGCCCGGCCGATTCTGGCTGGTTGAGCGGATTATCACAGCGCTCCGCAGTCTGTTCGCGTAGACGGAATGAACATGCGCGTCGACGATTCATGCTTGAGCCGCCAGCCCAGTCCTCTGAATCCGTCTGGTGATCGCAAGAGGTTTTAGAGAGCGCCGGGATACACTCGCTGCATCGTCTAGTGGCTTTGATTGGCCCAAAATAGAGCCCAGGAACCAGATTAAAGCCTCAAAGGGGAATGCAAACGCTATTCTTGGTGTTCTGGTGGGAATAGAAGTAGGTGGAGATTCTGCAGCTCGTCCGGTCAACATCCGTTCCAATTCAGAGTCTCCGATCATTGGAAGCCATGTGTCGACGGTCGCCAGGCGCGTGGAAAAGGAAAGTTTTCTGCCATCGTGGACAGATGAATCGATAATGCATCAGAATGCTGGCGTGTCTGCTCGCTATGAATCGTTCATTACCGAGTTCCGCAGAGTTGTTCGCAGGTTAGAAACAGACATCGTGGGAGCGTCTTATATCAGCCTGTCAACTCTCTGACTCAGATCTGTACCACGACTGCAATCTGCCACCTAACTGGCTTTGGCTCACGCGTTAGGGACATGCAAGAGGGGGTCTAGAACGTGATCCACTGCAATTACTCCCCATTCTCACTAATGAGCCAGCAACCAAGGCCTCTCGAGCCAGGATCATCCTTCTCGCGGGCTTCGTCTGTGCTTAGCGGATGCTTCAAGCCTAGCCTTCAGTCTTGCCTCACAGCGATCAATCGACGATTAACTTCGGGTCGAGGGAGAGGCGGGACCCTGAGAGCACCCCTTCGAGGCGCAGGCGCTTCTGCACTAGCGGCCCGGGATGGGAATGCTCGATTACGCATCTGGCCCTGTCTTCCGCCGCCCGTGTCGTCACACGCCGCTGATAGAGTCTGGTGCATGCTCGCAGCGGGTCGCTATATATCCCTAAAAGAGCGGTTAATGACGATAGCTCGTGGTAGGTAAACCTTGTATGGATCGTACGAGATGCGCTGCGAAGATCCATCATCATTTCCTCTCCAGCGCCCTTCGCGGCGCAGACGGGCCTGGGATTCTGGGTTGGATTAATTGCGGATGCGTATATAGATGGGGCACGAGACGGGTGATAAGACCTGCTCGAACCGAGGGACGAGCCAGCACAGCACAGCACAACACGCGCGTGAGTCGTCCGCCGCTCTTCTTCTTCTTCTTCTGCATGACATCCTCCTCATCTGCTGCGCCCCCAGACTCTCCTTCTGTCTCTCCATGCCGCCCTCACATGTAGCGTCGCTTTCCTTGCGCTCCCGAGACTCCGCAAACGAATGACAGCGCTTTTCTTAGCTCACCACCCGTGGCCTGGCGCTCAATCACATCCCGGCTGTAGTCGTCATCGTGCTCGCGTCCGTGCTCGCCTCGATCGTGGCGGTTCTGTTTGTGTACATCATCATCAAGATCTGCTGTCGGACCCGCCCGTCGGCCGAGAGCAGGGAGCAGGCGCAGCAGAGGGAGCCCGACGGGGAAGCCGTGGTGTCGATCCTCAACAAGGAGGGTGGCGGGGGGAACCCGTCATCCTTCGACCTGAAAAGGGAAGACTCGACGTCTACCAACCTGCACACGCGAACCAATCCTCCTCCTGCACCCGAGCGCCCCGTCTCCCCCTCGCGACGCCGGGGCGGGTACCACGTCCCTTTGCTGAACCCGTCCTTCCTCTTCCCGGCGCGGGCCTCGAACTCCGGCTCGGTCTTCCGGGAAGAGGGCATCTGGCCTCCGCCGCGCCAGGAAAGCCTATTCGTCGATCCGCTCTCGCATCCGCTCCCCGAGGAGTTCACGCAGCTCGTGTCGACCATCATGGGCGCGGTCGACACGGACAACCTGCGGCTCCGCATGGACTCGACGTTCTCCGGATCCTCCTCGACGGCCACCGTCACGTCCGGCCCGCACGCGCCGGCCACACCCTCGCCGAGCGTCGCAGCGGTGGCAGCGCCGGCGGGTGTTACGCGCACGCCGTCGCGGCGCAGTAGCTCGCTGTCCCGCGGTGCGCGCACCCACGCGCCGCGGCGGCTGCGCCTGTCCGCGTCGACGCCGAGCCTGCTCGTGTCGGAGGAGACGGACCCGCACTGGCCGCCGACGCCGGGGCCCAGCGTGTCGGATCCGCCGCCGCCGGCCGTCGTCGTCGGGATCGTCTCGCCGGCGTGGCCCGTGCGGCCGCCGACGCCGGGGCCGAGCCCGCTGAAAGGCGCGCTGGCGGTGGCGGGGCCCAAGCGGCCGGCGACGAGCGACGGGAGCAAAGCTGTGGCGAACTGGCTGGAACGCACGCCGAAGCGGCCGGGGACGTCGCCCGGGCTGAGTAGCTCATTCTGAAGTGTTGTTGTCCAGACGAGACGGAATAGATTCGACGATGATGATGATGGTGGGGGGGGAGCGTCTTTGACTCCGGCCTATGTCCGCATAATGCTACAGTGGCGTGGCGTGTGTCTAGGTATGTCTAACGGGTGAGGGCTATATGCTACGACTAGGGATATATGAGGTGTGTAAAATGATATTAGTTGCCGGCGTTCTGTCCCAGCGATGAGAATCGATCAGACGGTGGATTTCTCCCCCTTCGCGGCAGCCTCCTCCTCCCTCATGGCGCGGGCGATCTTCAGGTCCAGGCACGGCGCGAACTTGGACTTTTCGCGGATGCGCGCGCCGTACTTGTAGAACAGGAACGGCGACGGCATCAGCAGCAGGCCGACCCCGCCGAGCAGCGTCGACGCCCAGTGGACACCCAGTCTGTTGAACATCTGCACGGTGAACAGCGGGAACACGGCCGCGACGAGCGAGCGCATGAAGGTGTTGGCCGCGAACGCAGACGCCGCATACATCCTGGCCGCACAGACGCAGTCAGCATGCGGGAGAGACAAGCGGAGAGAGAGGGGGGACGCACAGGTACGTGTCGACGAGGTAGCTCAGGAAACTCATGAAGATGAGCGAGATGCCCATGCCCAGGACGATCGCGCCCAGCTCCGGGACGTACCACGGGACCGAGGCGTACTGCCCGGTCCATCCGAGCCAGAACGCGCCGACGACAAACGCAGGGCTGCCGATCATCGCGCCCAGGAGACGTTCCTCGGCCGGGGGAATCCGCGCCACTCCTTGATCAGGCGCGGATAGTGCCGGCAGCAGAGGTAGTTGACCACGGCGCCGAGCGACGTGCCGATTCCGATCCCGATGAACATCAGCCCGTCCTGGCCGATCGTGAAGTGGCGGCGGACGACGAAGATGATGGGGAACGCCTCGAACACTGAGAGCGGGTCAGCGCATGCTCGTCCTTTCAGAGCGCCGAGTTGACGACTTACGGCAGTACATCACACCGTAGACGAGCGACAGGTAGAGCGTGACCAACACGAGGATCGGCTCGCCCGCCAGCATGGTGAACGGGCGGAAGAGCGTGCGCTGGACGACCGCCCACGGGGTCCAGTCCTGCTTCTCGATCTCGGCGTAGAGGTGCGCGGAGCCCTCCGGGTCGGCCTTGCGCAGCGCCTTGACTTTGTTGAACATCAGCACGGGGACGTACGTCTCACGCAGCGCGACGAGCAGCAAGGCCGTGCAGGTGCCCGAGAAGATCATGCCGACCCAGAAGATCCAGCGCCAGCTCACGCCGCTTTCAACGATACTGAGTTGCAAGTCAGCATGCGGTCATTATGTATCAGACGCGGTAAGCAACTGCTGCACGCACTATCCGGCTACGATCGGGCCCATGACGGGTCCGATGAACACACTGGCAGAGAATATGCTCGTGGCGACCCCGCGCGTCTCCGCGGACCAGATGTCGGCCAGCACGCCGCCGGAGCTGACGAGCGGCGCACAGCCAAAGAAGCCCGCGAGGAAGCGCGTGACGAAGAACGTCTGCAGGTTGTGTGCGAGCGCCTGGCCGAGATGGAACAGCGTGAAGACGACCATCGCGACGGCGAGTGTCCTCTTGCGGCCGAAGAGCTCGCTGCCGGGGCCCCAGACGAGCGGCTGTTGGGCATGACGTCAGTCAGTCGGCCAGTCTGATCGGTGCAGACGGGACACGCACCCCGAAGACATAGCCGAGCAAAAACGTCGTCGTTGTCAAGTACGACACCTCCGCGGACGTATGGAAATCGCGCTCCAGAACGAGTAACGCAGAACTGGGTGCGGACGATGCGAATGTTCTGCCGCCCCACAAAAAAAAAGAAGAAAATAATGTCAGCCCCGGGAGGGAAAGAGGACGGAGGAGACCAGGCACGTACACGCAGACCGTCGCAAACACACAGACCGCAGTCATGAACCACTTCCGCCGCACGCTCCAGTTCATCGGGTTCGCCGGGTCGTCCGGGCCATCCCAGGTCACGGCCTGCGGATCGCGCACGGGGGGCGGCGTGGCGACATACGGCTCGCCGGCGTGCGGCTTCGCGGGCGGCGGGTGCGGGTCGTCCCCGCCGTACTCGTGGATTTCGCGCTCGTCGCGCTCGAGCTCCTCGTCGAGCGGCGACAGCGCCTTGGCCGGGGGCTCGATGGCCGTCACGGAGGAGCGCGGTGTGTGCGTCACGGATCCGCTCGCCATGGGGGGTCGGGGTCGGGGTCGGGGTCGTAAGCGTGGGCGGGCGTGAAAGAAAAAGCAGTAGCAGTCGGAAACGTCATACCCGACTCCTCTGGTTTTTATAGGTCACCGCGATTGTGCGGTTCATCTGTGCTCCCGCTGAAAGCTAAAGCCTCGGTTACGGCTCGGTCTTCTTTGTTGCCGGGCCCGGATTGGCGGCTCAGTATGTAATCAATGATGACGTAACAGCCGATTCCGGCCTCTTCCTCCTGTGCATCCACTTCTCTCGAAAAAAGCACATGGAGCATAGATGCTGCTGCACTGTAGCATCAGCCTGATATTCCGTAGCAGTTGTTGTGCGCTGCGATGGAGGTAGGCTGAAGCCGGTGCAGTCGTGTTCATGGCCCAGTTGCAGGTGAATTATCGCCTATTATCACCTCACGTCAGCCGGGATCTGACGTCCCTGGCCGGAGCTTATCAACCGCTGGAGATCTGCATAATCGGGCTCGAGCGAGCGCAGCCCGAGCCTTGATGGGCCGCGAGCCGCTCCAGCCTGCAAGACATCTCCGATCGCCCGTGTCAGCCACTTACAGACACAGTACACACTGTATACTTGGTCACGGGAACGCGATGTTCACAGGCTGTGTGTTATGTTATGTACGAGACACGATGATTGATCGACCGGACGACCACCCACATCGCAACATCCATCTTCCGAACCCTCCCTGCGTTCTATTTTGATCGCCGTCCGTGCGCGTCTGATGCCATGGCCCCCTGCTCTGGCGATGCACCCCGAAAGGTAAGGCTCGGAAATCGATTCCTTTGCCCACCTCCTGTATCTACCTCCGGTGTCCCACGGAATCTGTCGCTGCCCCGGATACTTACTGCACGCACGCAATCCAAGCTGCTGGTAGCCGAGTAAGATGCCAGCCAGTCCGGACGCGGCGAAGCAAGCACAAGCAAGCTTTACGTCCACTCCACGCCGGTCGCTGGCGTTCGCGCTGCACCCACTGCTTCCTTGAGTTTCTCGAAAGTGATTGCAGTAACGTCGGCCTTCGTTAGCGCTCGATCTCCAGATGCACCACACCGTAACGACCGCTTTGGCTTTACCGCTCCAGAAGAGCCGTCACAGAAAAATAAACTTGCCGAGTGTGTGTGTGTGTGTGTGTGTGACACGGTCTCTTGTAACGGACTCTGTGATCTATGCATGTAGGTTGATTTAATGCTACAGTCGAACGCTCCGGAGGACCGTCCCGAGGACGATAGGTTAAAGGCTGAGAACGAACCCGGAGTCCGTGGAGGGAAGCAGCCGCTGCCGAGCGCACGCAGCCGAAGAGAGCGAGGGCAAGCTCAAGCCATCTTCGGTATCTTGACTCGGAATATCCACTCCGTTCGGGTTCGACCTGTAAACTCATCGCGAATACGTCTGTGGGTTTGGATAGTTCGATGCAGGTGCAGTGGAATTGCGAGGATAACCGCAGCCCCAATCGACTCTCGAGCCCGGCCGAAACCCGAGGGCAGCGACCGCACATGTTTTCCGGCGACCGTCGCAGAACTGTAACCGGATTATGCCCGTGTTGCGTTACGGCAGTTGCCCAAGCAAATCGCAGAAGGTCTCGACAAACAGTGTCGTGACGTCCAATATCAAGTTCAGGTCCGGAACATGTGTTTCCGTGATGCATACCATACACACATCGCACGGCACCGCCACGCGTCGTTTGGCCGGGGCGAAGACGTGAGAAATCGCCGATCTGATGGGAAGTCATCACCGCACGCAGAATCTCCGAGATGGGCGCGACAAAGTTCAGCCAGAGCGTGGACGGCGACAGGCCCCCGGCTACACCCTATAAGGGTCAGTCCGCCCCAAAAGGCTGGTTCGCGCGACGAAATCGACCATCTGAACCGTGATTCGCACCATATCCGGACCGGAGTCAACCCGGATTGGGATAAATTAGGAATTTCTTGGAGCGTTTTGAGCCAAGTTACGTTCAATTTCATCCTAGGGTGCGTTCCACAAGATCTGACTTATCCCAGTGGGAGTGGATGACCCCCTCTGGTTCTTAGAGGGGACGGCAGGTGCGAAAAAACTTGCGGTCAGCGCCCGCGATTTGAGCCATCTGAGTCTGAGACTCAGTGTTTTTGGCCTGATTTGCGCTATTTTCAGGCCGAGGTATAGCAACAATTTCGGGCCGTTATTTGCACGATTCCGGCCGGACCCAATAGGGAGTAGCCGGGGGCCTACAGCGACATCATGCGGCGGCAGTCCGCATTGTTGCGACGGCCGTCGCCGTGGTACACAACGGCAGCGTCACCGGACTCAGACGGCTCCACCACCTGCCCCCAGCCCTGAAGCGACGCGAGTGGGGTGACTGATCATGCAGCATGGCTTGACAACAGCGTCCGCCCGACTTTGTTCCACGGGCGGTCACATTCGCCCACGCCGCGATTTATCCTCCGCATACAAGACGCGGGGCACACAGAGCAGCAAACGCAGCAGCAGCAGCAGTCAATAGCTCCCATCGCATCCCCATCCCCATCCCCTTGACGATGAAGATCTCACACCCCATCCCGGCCCTCACCGCGCTCCTGCCGCTCGTCCGAGTCGCCGCGCAGTGCCCGCAGGTGCACGTGTTCGGCGCGCGCGAGACGACCGTGCCGCCCGGCTACGGCACCTCGGGGCCCGTCGTGCAGAGCATCGTCGGCGCGTACCCCGGCGCGACGAGTGAGGCGATCACGTACCCGGCGTGCGGCGGGCAGGCGAGCTGCGGCGGCGTGTCGTACGCGAACTCGGCCGTCGCGGGCGTCGCGGCGGTCGCGAGCCAGGTGAATGCGTTCAACGCGCAGTGCCCGAATACGGTGCTCGTGCTCGTGGGATACTCCCAGGTGCGTCGGGGGTGTGAAGGTGGTGGTGGTGGTGGTGGCTGACTGTTGGTTGTGGTGACAGGGCGGGCAGATTATGGACGACGCGTACTGCGGCGGCGGGGACACGAACGAGGGCCTGTCGAACACGGCCATCCCCATCTCTGCCGCTGCGCAAAAGAAGATCGCCGCCGCGATATTCATGGGCGACCCGCGCCACATCCCCGGGCTCTCCTACAACGTCGGCACGTGCCAGGCCTCCGGCGTACGTCCACGTCTCCCTCTCTCTTCCTCCCTCTCTCTCTCTCTCTATTTCTCCGCACTCGGCCCGACCCCCGACTGACCAGCGCCGCAGTTCGCCCCCCGGCCGGCCGGCTTCAAGTGCCCGTACGCATCCAACATCCAGTCCTACTGCGATGCCGCGGACCCGTACTGCTGCAACGGCTCCGACGCCAACACGCACCAGGGCTACGCCGTCGAATACGGCGCGGCCGCGCTCACCTTCGTCAAGGGCAAGGTCAACGTGCTCCTCAGCGGCGGCGGCGGTGGCGGCGGGGGCACCGGCCCGGTCAGCACCACCAGCGCTACCCCGCCTCCGGTCGGCACGGGCGGCACCGTTGCGCATTGGGGACAGTGCGGAGGGCAGGGCTGGACGGGTGCGACGGCGTGTGTGGCGCCGTACAATTGCGTCGCGGCCAACGCTTATGTGAGCCCTCTCCCTCGTTTCGGTCTCTCGTGTGTCCCTCGATCTGAACTCTGTGTCAGTACTCCCAGTGTCTTTGAGTTCGTTCTCACTGTACAGTATGTGTTCTCGATGATCCGCGTAATCCAACATGTTTTGCTTGTCTCTGGTTATTCGAGTCTGTGTGCCATTCCAACTGGCAGCGAAGAAGCACGCCTGGCTTTCTGGTATGGCTTGAAGCTCTCGCCATCGACGCATGGTTGAAACCACATCAAGCTATTCGCATGCCGTTCCTTTTGTACGACATCTTGTGAGAATGTCACGTGCAGATCCCTCCCCAAGGTCAAACAATTGGATTTCAGAGCGAGGCTGAGGTGGTGTCATTCGGGATTCCCTCGTGCTGGAGATGCGCTACGGGCGGTGGAGTGATACCCAAAAGCCAACCACGCACAAACAAGTACATCTTCCATCTGTGGCCGATTAGGCTGATTGGCCCGCGCATTCTTATGTTGTGCAAACTCGCATAGGTGCAGTCGCCTGCCGATTTGCTCGGGTGTTGGATGTGGTGTCACGCGGATGCTTTATTCGAGCGCTCTGGGACTCTAGGGTGGCGAGCAAGTCCTCTATTAGCGGCAGCCCCCACTACTTGTGTGCAAGTTCGGCCGAGGGCGGGTTGTGACCTGTACCTCCACTAATTGCTTAGTTTCTTATTCACCTCGCAAGCCCAGGCTGGGATACTTTGGACATGGAAGCTGACAATCATCAGTCGGTGTGGCGTCCGATGCTCCGCGACCCCGATCAGCGCTTGAGCAGTATATGCGGTACAAGCAGTTGCCTTGTTTTGCATCGAGAGAAGTCTTGAGCAAACGAAATAGTAGAACGTACCCTAAAAGGTACATGGGCTCCTTCGTTGAGCGCGGCTTATTTCAGATGTGCCATATCTTATGACCATCATGACTTGCCGTTGCCGTCCAGCGTCTTCCCTGGTACGGTGGGCACCCCCAGCAGCTCGAAAGGGAGACCAGTCCAAGCTTGGTCTGGTAATGGTTGCCTCGCCCTCGCGGCAGCAACGCAACGCAACTACCTGTGCGTCATCCGACATGACACACACCGGCCCTGGACCCAAGTTGCTTTGCAATTAATTCATATCATCTCAACAACGCGATGGCGTACGCGCGAGCTGCTCTGATCGCTGACGAACAATATCCAGGATGACTGTGCGCATATAAACCAGAGCAGCGAGTGCAGACTTCCATACTGTATCGAGCTCCTCACACCACTCATCAACTCAATTGACATGCCTGCTCTCCAACAAGCAAAGTCCGCCAATGCGGCCCTCGTTCCGACGACGTACACACCCGTGCTCGTCGTGGTCGGCGGCACCTCAGCCATCGGCGCGGAGGTCGCCAAGGCGTTCGCGCGCCACGCGCAGGGCAGGGCGCACATCATCATCGTCGGCCGCAGTGAGCGCTCCGCGCGCGCGGTCCTCGACGCGTTCCCGAGGCCCGATCTCGGCACCGAGTTCTCGCACGAGTTCCTCCTGGCGGACGTCACGCTCATGAGCGAGGTGCGCGCGCTCGTGGCGAGGATCAGCGAGAAGCTGCAGGGGCTCCCGGGCGGCGGGCGGATCAACTATCTGTTCCTGAGCGCGTCGTCGCCGGTGTCGAATTCGCTGATGAAGGCGGCGGTGACGACAGAGGGCCTGGGAGAGCATCTGGCGTCCAAGTGCGTGGCCGTCCCCGATGTTCTTCTCCTCGGCACCCCGACTGACTGCAGTGCCGCAGATACTTCGCCCGATACCTGATTGCGCGCGAGCTGCTCCCATTGCTTGCGAGAGCGCACGAGCTGGACCAGGTGGCGACCCTGATGACCGTCCTTGCTGCCGGCAACGCAGTGCCGCTCCCGACGACGGACCTCGACCTTGCGGAGTCGCGGAGGGCAGGGAGGAAGTGGCTGGATGGCGCGTTCCCGGTGCGTGCTCGGTCACCTACAAGCCGTATTTGCGTTCCGCTCATCTCCACTCACTGCAGCGTCTCGAAGCGCTCAAGGGCATGCAATATGCCCTGCCATACAACGATGCGCTCGTGGCGGTGAGTCGTCGTCTGCTCCCGCACGTCCGGCGCGGCTGATCTCTCTCACAGCATTTCCACGCAACGAATCCTTGGCTCAGCTGCACGCACACGTACCCGGGCCAGGTCCTGCCTCCAGGAAAGCCGGGGTTCGCGTTCGGGTACCTGATGCTCCCCCTCACGGGGCTTGTGCGCGTGCTTCGGTACTGGACTCAAGTGCCCCTCGGGGACTGCGGAGAGTACCAGCTCCACGCGCTGCTTGCTCCGGGAAAGACTGGCGGCGTGTTCCTGCGCGGAAAGCATGCGGATCTGATATCCAGTGTCACATTGGATAAGGAAGTGGTGTTGAGCGAGTCGGGGGATGATTCCATCGTGAGCGGGCTGGGTGTTTACTGCTTTCCCCTCGCTGACGAAGGTCTATAGGGCGTCTTGGCTGGTCATGCTGTGGCTGGATACGGCGGATCCGACGCGAGGGTGGCTAAGCTGATACACTGGACGGATGGCGTCCTCGAGAAACTGCAGAGCTGAAGCTCGATTCTTCATCATATTCACGCGGATTTTTTGTCTTGCACTGCAATGAAATAGGCCCTGGAATCGGACACTTTATAAGGCATTTTGTACAAGTTGATTCCCAGC